AAAGGGGGGGGGGGGGGGGGAATTTGAGTGTTGAAAGGTGGAAACGTGGGGGGTTGGGGGCGATTCGAAAGTTGTCAAAAAATTTAAAAACTTCTCTACTATGATTTAACTTGTTTTTTAAAAGGAGAATCGATAGAGTCTTAATTTAAAATAAGCGTTCGTTAAAAGGGTTGTAAAAATCCTTTGATTTAAAAAAAAATTGTCAAATGTCTTAGTTGGCAAAACAATTATAATTCGAACGGGTGCATTTTTTAAAAAAAAAATAAGCTTGTAAAAATATTTATTATAATAAAAATTAGTGTGTATAAGTATTAAGCGGTAAGTATTTTTTGAAAATCATTTTTATTTAATTTTTGTGTTAAATGTTTTTTACCTATTATTATTATTTTTTGTCTTTGTAATTTGCTATAAGCCTCATATTAAAATGAGTATTGCAAATAAAACCAATAAATAAATAAATAATAATACAAATTAATTTGTAAAAAGAAATTAATTAATTCGTCAGTATTAGGGTAAATTTTTAAACTTTGGATTCATACCCACTGTCCAGGATGAATGTTCTCCTCTTTGTCTTTATGCCAACAATGCTTGTCCAAAACGAATCAATGAAACGAGGTCGTCTTGGGGCGCATTTGAAAGCCAAACAGAGCGCTCATATTAATTCAGATTTAAATTACTTTCAAAACCTTAAAGAGAAATTCTCTAAGGACCACAACCTTTAGTCTCCGTGTACTGCTCATACTGCAACTGTCAACCGTATTCTTGAGACTAGTTTTAAAAATTTCTTTACGCATCGCTAAATCTAGGAAAAATCAAACTGTACGATCGAAATAATTCAAAACATCAGTATGAGCATTTCTTTAAAAAAGTTCTGGAAAAAGATGACAAATAAGTGAAAGCTATGCCACTCGGTGACAATGGTGTTAGCAGAAGGATACATTAAATGAGTGAAGATATTAAAATACAACTTAATGAAAAGTTGAAATCAAAGCAAGTTAGATATATTGAGAAAGGAGATGGTGCTATAGAACAGTTAAAAAAAATGTTTATTAGAAAGCACCACTGCTGCAAAAGATATATAAAATAAGCTAAAAAATTACTTAGATGTCAATAATATACGAATGAAAAATATAATATCATAATTAATATCTTGTGCGGCAGATCGTGCTCCTAATATAATGGGCAAGAAAAATGGGTGCTTAAAATTGAAAGATGAGAATCCAGAAATGCTTCTTGTGCGTTTTGTTATTCACAGGGTAAACTTGGTAGCTAAAAATATTTCGCCTGGTCTTAATGAAGCACTAAATTCAGCTACAAAGTGTATCAATGCTATTAAAGCTAATGCTAAATATGTGCGTCCTTTCAAGCTATTTTACGGAAAAAAATGCAGACCATGTGAGACTTTTACTTCACATTGAAGTAAGCTGGTTCTCGAAAGAGAACTGCTTGAAAAGGTTTATGGAACTATTTGACACACTTGGCGACTTTTTAAATGAGAAACCTAAAATGAAGTACCTGTTAACAGTTAATGGTAAAAAAATTAGTGAGTTATTTAGCCGATATCTTTGAACAAATAATATATATTAAATAACCAAATTCAAGAAGAAAATAAAAATGTAGTCACAAAAGCGAAGATATTTGGTCTCATTATATTTATTGAAGTATGTCAGAAATATGTTAGTAAAAAAATGTGAAAAGTTTCATTGGCTCCAAAAAATTTTGAAGTGACTTATACCGCGATACTTGTTATTGTCGATCATCTGAAATGTTTGTCAGATGATATATTAGAAATATTTTTTGATTTAAAACAAATTGATTTTCTAACTTGGATGATGCAGACAATGTTAGTGGTAATTTCTGATGTTACAAATATGCAATATCCAGAAGAACTCGCAGAAATGCGAAATGATGAGTCTGTTAAAACTTGGTATTAGAAAAGTAGCTTTGTGAGGAAACACAAATCAAATATCTAAATTATAATCAAATGTGCAAGACAGCTTTTTGTTAAATTTTATACATTCATATTTGGCTGAATGTGGATTTAGCGCTGCCAAAGAAAGAAGAAAAAAAAACAACAACAAATTTTCTGGATATAACACAGCGGGGAGACTTGAGACTGAATTTATCACACTTGGAGCCTAACATCAAATCTCTGTGCAGCAAGCATCAAGCTCAATTTTGTCATTAAATTAGTCAAGTCACATTGTATTTGTGATCTCTCAGAGTATTCTAAAATTATTAAATAATGAATAATAAATGAAATAGTAAATTATTAATATATTTTTTGAAAAATCTTTGCACTTCAATTTCCAGTTGTCCATCACATGCTTTGTCAATGTACTTACTGTGTTTCCTTCAAAAATGTCTTCGTAAAACCTATAAAATTCCTAAAGCTTTCTCCGTTTACCTAAAACCTATCACTTATTTTTCCTTAAGTGAATAAATCAATTTTTTAAATAGTAAAAAAATTAGGGACATATTAAATAGGGAGCATACGAGTTGTCGAAAAGCTTAGTGGGGCAAGGCGCCAGTGGCGTAGCTAGGGTGTTTGGCGCCCCGGGGACAAGATTCGTGCCCGGGGACAAGATTCATTTTAAAGTGCCCCCTTTTCTTTTTTTCAACTCTCAAACCCATTTTTTTTACCAATAATATAATATCAAATCACATTTTGGCGCCCCTAATTAGCTTGCGCCCGGGGACATCTGCCCCCCTGCCCCCCCATCGCTACGCCTCTGCATGGCGCAAAAAAGGTTGGGAATCTCTGACGAAAAACCAATGTTGTGTCATGGCCTTAACCTGGCTGGAAAAAAAAATCCATGATTTACCTTGATATCTTGGTTTTTTGTTTTCAAGATACGAATAATTACAGATAATATAGTAAAGGTGTAAATATTAAAAATTTAATAAATATTTAATTATCAAAATTATTTTTTCAAAACGTAATTTGAAATATGCCAGTATTAAGTAATATGCAAAATGCAATAATAAGTCTTTGATAAATCTATCACAGAGGAGCAATATCAGAAAGAGAGAGAGAAATTAAACCAAAACCCAAACTTTGCCTTTGCATGAAAATAAACTTCCATTAAGTTATAAACTATCCCATTGCCTTGTTCCTAGTCTGGCTTGTTCATAGCTTTTATTGTTCAAAGTCTGTCTTCTTAATAGTCTGTCTGGTTCATAGTCTGTATTGCTCATAATCGGCATTGTTCATAGTCTCTCTTGTTCATATTTTGTATTGCTCATAGTCTGTCTCGTTCATAGTCTGTCTTGTTCATAGTCTGTATTGTTCATAGTCTGTCTTGTTCATAGTTTGCATTGCTCGTAATCAGCATTGCTCATAGTCTGTCTTGTTCATATTTTATATTGCTCATTGTCTCGTTCATAGTCTGTCTTGTTCATAGTCTGTATTGTTTATAGTCTGTCTTGTTCATAATTTGCATTACTCATAACCAGCATTGTTCATAGTCTGTCTTGTTCATAGACTGTATTGTTCATAATCATTATTGTTCATAGTCTGTCTTGTTCATAATCAGCATTGTTCACTATTTGTCTTCCAGAACTTTGATCGATAGAAATACTGTAATTGCTGTGGATGATAAGGTCTCTTGATGTCAGCATCATTCCTAATCAGACAATTAAAATTGACATCATTGTCACTGTCACCATCTTTTGACGCCTCACTTCTCTATAGGTACTCGATGACATCCAGTGGTGGATTGCAATATCCATGCGGTCGGTTGGGGGGGGGGACTAAAAAACGGCCCTAACCAACTTTTTCCATTGGCGTAGGAAGGGTGGGGTGTAGAGACCGACCGACAGTGATTCTGGTCCTGGTAATGTTTCGTTGCTGCATCCATGTACTGGCATCTTTGCAACGGTTGAGGTATGATGTTGCTATTCTAACAGCTCCTAGCTAATGCCTGGGCATCCTTGAAGCTTTCGACCGATATCGAGTTCACAGTGGCATCGTTCAGGTGGTTCCATGCTATTATTGTGTGTGGGAAGAAAGATTGTTGATACTCAGCCGAAACCGAAACTAAGCCGAAAGTGATCAAACGACAACTTACGGCGCCGAAACCGAAGCCAAAATTCGGTCGTTCTCTATTGGAGTGCGGGTATTATCGGCAAACTGCGAACTTTTGTGGAGGGGGGGGTGGATCTTGCCCCTCAGGGTTGCTCTAACCCCAAGCTACGTTATTAGGAAAACGAGAGAGTCGGTAAGTTGTTTTATGTTCACAACCAGTGAGAGTATGCTGGATTTAGGAACCTGTATTCGTGCACGAAAAAAAGCAAACATTATATTTTTCGCAATATCTGCATTTTCACTCTTGTTCTGGTTCTGGTTCTGGTAGTGTTTGTTGCTGCTAGAGACCAACCAAATTTCGGCTTCGGCTTTGGATTCGGCGCCGAAAGTGGCCATTTTATCACTTTCGGCCAAGTTTCGGTTTCGGCCGAAACTGAAAGTTAACTTTCGGCTTAATTTCGGTTCCGGCCAAAAGACAAAAGTTAACTTTCGATTTTTTTCGGTTTTGGCCGAAATTGACTTAGACTTTCGGCCAGTGACTGAGGTTTTCGGTCATCTGATACTCACCGAAAGCGATATTTAACAACAAACTAAGTGACATTTAAGAACAAACTAAACGATCTTTAAGAAAAAATTAAACGATCTTTAAAAACAAATAAAGTGATTTAA